TCACTGCCAGATCAGTGCATCCTGCCTATCTTTTGAACTGACACAGAAAGCAAGGCAGCTAGTTTCCTGTGGACTCTTTCCCTTCATTGAGACCTTAAGTTACCACTGATAAAAATATCATGCCAATTAGACATAACTAGGTCTTTGAATTATAGTCTTGATTTGACTTGGAGTTTAGTTTGATGTTAGCATTACCAACTTCCACGATTCTAAATTAAAGTCTGGTTTAATCAGTGCAGATCCTCATCAGCTTGAGGAATGTGTTTGCTCTAAGTGGTCTAAATTGCTAACCATACCTATTCAGTGTCTTGAGACATGATGGTTGCTCTCCCACCTTATGTTTAGAAAACAGGGTAAATTGTAACATTTTTCTAAGTCTACTTTCCACCATGTAAAATTGGACACAAAGGCAAATGGCAGCTCTATAATTTTATACTTCAGTTAACTTTTATTTTTCAGTAATAGTCCCTGGATGATTCTAACCTGAACTTTATTTTCTTGAAGTTTTCCAAACAGATGACTTCTTTAGAAAGAGAAATTGAAAATGGTCAGGTGTGTCTGTATACAAGCCATTTATAGATCGAGGACCGTGGCTTTCCTCTCAGTGGACTGGTGGTCAGTATGGCAGCTTGGGAATCACTCTGCCTGTTTCTGAACATCAGCTCCACTTTCTTGTATTATGTAGGTGTGTGCCATTGGGCAGTGGTCAAAGCCTCTTTACATCTCTGTTTCCCCACAAATAAAATGTGGTAGTGATGGTACCTATGTCATAGGGTTCATGTGAGGCTTAAATGAGATAATGCATATGCATAGTAGATCCTTGACTGTTGGTTTAATGAATGAAAACTGAGTGTTTATGATGTACAAGGCTCTGAGCTGGACAAGTGGCATATGATGAAGAATAAAAATCCCTCCATTTAGAGCTTAGTAGTACAGATGAGGCAATGAATTAATTAGTTATCACATTTAGGAATGTAACATTACAGCCACAATGAGTGAACGCTAAGGCATAGTATAGGTATTGGAGCTGTCTGTGGGCTTAAGGGAAGTTCCCATGGGAAGACTGAGTTACAATCTAAAGAAAACTAGATGGGAATGAAGTAGAGGAAGGTGTGTATTGACTGCAAGACTGTCCAAGACAGAAGGAAGAGCCTGGAGGATGGTTCTGTGGCCAGTGTGTACTTGGTGAATATAAGGAAATTAAATAAGGCGGTGTGTGAAGGGAAGAGAACCATAGCTAATGTTGCTTGAGATGCGCCTGGAGCTGGAGAGAAAGAAGACATCGTCCAACTTGGGGCATTTTTAAGCCATGTTTAGGAATGTGACCTCGCAAAGTGATGTTAGGTATTTAAATTCTGGAGAGATATTTGCAATCATCTATTATTATTGTTGTTGTTATTGTACTATTGTCATTATTTTTATTCCATAGCGGTCTTTCCCATACCAAATATGTTTATATCCTTTAATGTTTATTCATTGATTGTCTTCCCCAGTCTCTATTATTGTTTTTCTCTAAACTTTTAATCCCTCTATCTTGCATTTAGAAAGAAAGCTGAGAACATAGCTTTGTTTTCTTTCAATCAATTTTACTGTTGGAAGTGGAATTTGCTTTTGTATAACTTTTATGCATCGTAAATAAAAAACAATTGCCAAAATGTTACCTACTGTGACACATATTATGCATCTTAGCCTTTGTGAAATCCTTAAACACGCTGCTGTTTATTTGTCTAACTTACACAGGCTAAAACCTGAGGCTGAATCTGTGTGGAAAATGTGGAGTTTGAAAAGAGGCTGATGTGTGTCTGTGTGTGTGTTCATGCACATTCACGTATTTTGTGTTTACTGATCTACAGCTGGTCAATGAAGAGCCAAGGTAGGAGCCGTGCATCTCAGAGATGAAAGGCCGTAATTCTTCCTCCTGCTCCCAAAGAAGGGACAGCTCTGTTGGGTTAGGCTGCATAAACACAATGTCCTGAGCTTTACATAAAACCTGCGTAGCCTTGGGAAGCCTCAAGGCCCACCCCGAGGCACCCTCAGGTTTGTCCTCTTCAGGCACTTTGCCAAGCCTCCTCCTTTTGTTTTTGGTTGGGGGATGACAGCTTTACAATGTGGTGTCGGTTTCTGCCATATAGCACCGTGAATCAGCCATGAGTATGCTAGTCACTCAGTCGTGTCCAGCTCTCTGTGACCCCATGGACTGTGGCCCACCAGGCTCCTCTGTCCGCGGGATGCTCCAGCAAGAAAACTGGAGAGGGTTACCATTTCTGTCCCCAGGGGATCTTCCTGACCCAGGGATCGAACCCAAGTCTCCTGCATTGCAGGAAGGTTCTTTACCATCTGAGCCATCAGGGGAGCCCTTATGTATGTGTTAATACACGATATTTGTTTTTTTCTTCCTGACTTACTTCACTTCTGTATAACAGATTCTAGGTTCATCTCCCTCACTAGAACTGGCTCAAATTCAGTCCTTTTTATGCATACCTTGTACTTTTCTGTATTCTCTAGCTTGCCTGCTGTGGATAAATGTGCATGCCTTGGGCTCCTATCCAGGATAAGAGTTGTTAATCATATATCATATTTTTGATGTAAATAATCAAAAATTGTTTCAGATTTTTTCTGTTGTGGTAAAATATGAAATTTACCATCTTAACCATTTATAAGTGCCTAGTTTGGTGGTACTAACTACATTTATGTTGTACAACCATTGTTACCATATCCCTCCAGTGCTACTTGTGTCTTGCAAAGTTGGAATTCTATCCCCATTAAACATTAACTCCCCAATCGCCTTCCTCTACCCTGCCCCAGCCAGCCACCATTCTACTTTCCATCTCTACGATTGTGGTGAGAACTTCATATGGCATTTGGGGACTTTTATATTTCCATGCAAATTTTAAAAAAATTTGTTATAGTTCTGTTTTTTAAAATGCTCTTGGTATTTTTATAGGGATTGCATTAAATCTGTAGATAACCTTGGGCAGTATGATCATTTTAACAATATTAATTCTCCTAATCCACGAACATGGTGTACCTTTCTGTCTGTTATGTTGTCTTCAATTTCTTTTGTTAGTCTTACAATTTTCTGAGTATAGGTCTTTTATCTCTTTAAGTAGGTTTATTCCTAGATATTTTATTCTTTCAGATGTAACTGTAAATGAGATTGCTTAATTTCTCTTCCTGATAGTTCATTGTTAGTGTATAGAAATGCAACAGAGTTCTGTATATTAATTTTGTATACTGAATTTGTTGATGAGCTCTAGTAGTTTTTGATGATGTCTTGAGGATCTTATATGTATAGAATCATGTCATTTGCAAAGTGATGGTTTTACTTCTTCCTTTCCAATTTGGATTCCTTTTGTTTCTTTTTCTTGTTTGAGTGCAGTAGCTAGACTTAAAAGACTGTGTTGAAGAAAAGTGGTAAGAGGGTATTCTTTTCTTGTACCAGATCTTAGAGGAAATGCTTTCAGGTTTTCACCATTGAGTATTATGTTAGCCATAGGTCTGTCATATATGGCTTTTATTATGTTGAAGAATGTTCCCTCTCTGCCCACTTTCTCGAATTTTTTTAAAATCATGAATGTTGAATTTTGTCAAAAGCTTTTTATGTATCTATTGGTATGATCACACAGTTTTTATTCTTCAATTTGTTAGTGTGGTGTATCACATTGACTGATTGGATGGGGATATTGAACTATCCATAAATCATGAGTTTTTAAAAACAGTGTTGAAAATTTGGTTTGCTAATATTTTGTTGAAGATTTTCTACTTTCATCAAGGATTTTGGCCTATAATTTTCTTTTTGTGATATTTTTGCCTGATTTTAATATCAATGTGATGCTGGGTTTGTAGAATAAGCTCTGACACTTCCTTCCTCTGTAATATTTTGGAATAGTTTGAGAAGGATAGATGTTAATTTTTCTCTAAATGTTTGGTAGAGTTCACCTGTGAAGCCATCTTGTCTTGGACCTTTGTTGTTTTTGTTTTTTTAATTACTGATTCAATTTCATCAGAGTAGTTAGTCTGCTCATATTTTCTGTTTCTTTCTGGTCCAGTCTTAGAAAACTGTGTGTTTATAGAAATTTGTCCACTTCTTTTATTTATTTATTTTTTTATATTTGGTCATGAGGCATATGGGGTCTTAGTTCTCCAAACAGGAGTTGAACCTGCACTCCTGCATTGGAAGCACAGAGTCTTAATCACTGGACCACTAGGAAAGTCCCATATCCACTTCTTTTAGGTTGTCCACCTTACTGGACTGTAATTCTTTGTGGTAATCTCTTATGACCCTTTGTATGTCTGTGGTGTCAACTGTAACTTCTGTTTCATTTCTAGTTTTATTGATTTCGGCCCTCTTACTTTTCCCCTTGAAGAGTCTGGCATCTGGATTGTCCATTTTGTTTCAAAGAATCAGCTCTTAGTTTAATTGATCTTTTGTTTTTTTTCTTTCCAAATTCTCTGTTTCGTTTATTTCTTCTCTGATCTTTATGATTTCTTTCCTTCTACTAACATTGTTTTGTTGTTGTTGTTCTTATTTTTCTAGTTCCTTTAAATGTAAGTTTAGATTATTCTTTTGAGGTTCTTTTTTGTTTGTTTATTTCCTGAGGTAAATTTGTATTGCTGTGAACTTCCCTCTTAGAATTTCTTCTGCTGCATCCTGTAGATTTTAGATTGTTGTGTTTTCATTTTCATTTGTCTCTAGGTTTTTAAAAAAATTTATTTCTTCTTTGATTTTTCTAGTGATCCATTGGTTGTTTACCAGTGTATCTTTAGCCTTCACGTGTTTGTTTTTTGCCTGCTGGTGTTAGGGCCAGTTCCTGACACAGCTTGCTGTGGGATCCAATGTATCCTCAGGTTTCTGTCAACCCACTGGTGTCCTTTTCCTGGAAGGTATCCAGAACATGAACCTTTTATATGCAGTGCTGATCATTAATGGTTGATACATAGCATGTAATATTTGCTAAATGAATAAGTAATTATTCTGAAAAATATTCTGTGTATTACAGGGCCTGATCTTCAGGTTTGCACAGCCAAAAAACCTACGTGTTGTACCAGGAAGATGGAGGAGAGATACCAAGTCGTGGCTCGCCAGGATATGCAGCAGGTGCTTCAAACATCCAGCTCTGCATTAAAGTTTTTGATATCTCGAAATGCAGCTGCCTTTCAAGGTAAATATATCTTGATTTCTGAAACTGAGGACAAATCTTGCTATGTAATTTACCTATTATTATTATCCTGGTAAATTTATCTAGGTGTATTTCTTTGTCTTTGTGTATTATACTGGTATAAAATGAAATTTTAGTTTTATTCTAACCTTGATAGCAACTAAACCACCACTAACTTTCATGGCTTGTCTCTGAGGTCATCATCAGGCTTGTAAACTGAGTTGGAGTAGGGAGTCTGTTTTGTTAATGAAATATATGCCTTTCTGGGGTTTCTGCCAGATCCCCCAGACCCATAGTTTACTTTAGTATGAACAGACATACTTATGAGATTTTATGAAAATAGTCTATAAAACAAAACCCCATTGCTTTTAACTGGGTAATTATAGATTCATTTTCAAAAATATTATTTTGAGAAATATTTTCCTAACTTTTCCTCTACTTCCTCATGTGGATTTCCTAGGAACATCATTGTGATATGTCAAAGTGTAGACAAGTCTGATAAATAGTAAAACAGGAAATATTAGTCGGGTGTTTAAGGATCATCTACAAGCAGAATTCAACCTTAATTCAAACAATGTGCTGAGAAATAAAATTAATGGGTTATAAAATTATAACACATATTGGCAAATATATGATCTTTTTATTGTTTTAGTCATCTTGTCTATAAAATTCCTTATTACTATAATAAAATAGTTTATTTTTTCTTTTATAAAGCATTAGCTATTCTGTATAGGATTAGAATGAAAATATTTAGATTACACTGCTCTCAAACAAATTTATTGCTTTTGTTCAACACAAAATATAACTTCTATTGGTATTCCTTTTTAATAAGTGTATTAATATCAATCTGGTTAAATAATTTGTGCTTTGTTTACATACAGAACTAAATCACAAAGCTGATTAATTTTTAAAACTCTACTTATTAAATAAAATGAATATAATAAATCAGGACAAAATTTAAGTTGAGTTAAAATGTAATTCCTGATGAATTGATGATCTTTTAAAATAGAAACATTGAAATGTCAATTTTAAGATGTTTTAATCTAGTAATATTTTTCTTAGAAAAAGCCTCATTTATGTTATGGAATTTGTTCATGAGAAATTGTTGGAGGAAAATATATTGATATGCATTTTAAGGAAAGATTTGTGACTTGAATTAGCTGAACTAGAAGATATTAACCATCCACTGAAAGTGATATAATGATTTTTTCTTATGAAAATGATAGTGTGTATGATATGGAAAATACATTTTAGAGATAAAAGGGACAGTAAATAGATCAACGTTACCAGAATAGGGAGCTGTGGATGAGGATTGTGGACCATATGCTTGAAAAGAGTTAAGATGGACTCACGTGGAAGAAGACTTAAAATATCAATTCGAGTTTGAGAGAGTCATTAAAGATTTTTGAAAGTGAAGCTTCATTATGATTTCTTATCACTTAATGTCAAAACTAAATCCTTACAAGTAAGAAGATATGGTTGAAGAAGACCATGATAAATCAAACCTACATTTTTGGATAACAGTGTTATCCATATAGGCGAAATAAAGTGCCAGCAGTTATTAACGTGTAGGGACTCAATGAATGGTAGCTGAGCATTTTCTTCTGTCTTCAAATATACTCCAACAAACTTTTCACATATTGTTGGATAAATTGATCAAGATAGAGTGCATTGAATTCAAAAGATTGAGAAAAATAAAAAACCCGAGTATTTAGAATTTTAACATGGTTTAGGCTGTTGAAAACTTTTGGGGTGAAAATGTCCCTGGTGGCTCAGATGGCAAAGAATCTGCCTGCAATGCAGGAGATCTGGGTTCAATCCCTGGGTCGGGAAGATCCCCTGGAGAAGGGAATACATCCTACTCCAGTATTCTTGCCTGGATGATTCCATGGACAGAGGAGCCTGGTGGGCAAAGAGTTGGACATGAATGGGTTACTAATATTTTCACTTTTATCAGTAGTATGATGACATGAGATTGTCTCTACTGGAGTGTCTGGTAATATTATGTACAACTTTAAAAAATTTTCTGTTTAGTAAATTATACCTGTATTTTTACTAGGGTGAGTTTTGCTGTTTTTTAAAATATCAATTATAAAAGTGAAAAAGTGGCTCTTTCTTAAATATGATTTGTTATAATAAATTTTCCTGTTCTCCCTTTGTGACATGTCAATTTTATTTAAGAATCATGAGAAGGCAAGGCAGATTTAGAAGAGATTGGCCTAAAGGCTAACTTTACTGGAACAAATTCTCTTAAAGGACGAATACCTGCTTTTATTTTTTTATTTTCTAAGTTTTATTATTATTATTTTTTTTACCATTTATTTTTATTAGTTGAATGCTAATTACTTTACAGTATTGTAGTGGTTTTTGCCATATATTGACATGAATCAGTCATGGATTTACATGTATTCCCCATCCCGATCCCCCCTCCTGCCTCCCTCCCCACCCCATCCCTCTGGGTCTTCCCAATGTGCCAGCCCCAGGCACTTGTTTCATGCATCCAACCTGGGCGGGATATCTGTTTCACCCTTGATAATATACATGTTTCAATGCTGTTCTCTCAAAACATCCCATCCTCACCTTCTCCCACAGAGTCCAAAAGTCTGTTCTGTACATCTGTGTCTCTTTTTCTGTTTTGCATAGAGGGTTATCATTACCATCTTTCTAAATTCCGTATATATGTGTTAGTATACTGTATTGGTCTTTATGTTTCTGGCTTACTTCACTGTGTATAATGGGCTCCACTTTCATCTTATTAGAACTGATTCAAATGAATTCTTTTTAATGGCTGAGTAATATTCTATGGTGTATATGTACCACAGCTTCCTTATCCATTCGTCTGCTGATGGGCATCTAGGTTGCTTCCATGTCCTGGCTATTATAAACAGTGCTGCGATGAACATTGGGGTGCACGTGTCTCTTTCA